CAAGTTAGTGTTTATTTACATAAAAAAAAAAAAAAAAAAAAAAAAAAAAAAAAAAAAAAAAAAAAGGTACAAGCTGTCCTTTCTCATCCAGTTTACTCATTCTTGGCATCCTTCTGTCTAGGGCCCCAGAACTCGCCCCTCTGAAGAGTAAGATGATCTATGCCAGCTCCAAGGACGCCATCAAAAAGAAGTTCCAAGGTACGTAGGAGACTTGGACCTTAGGGATGTGAGAACCCCCAAAAGTGCCTCATTTTCCTAGGAGAGCAGCTTTGGGCACAAAAAGAGAGAAGCCACGCTTGTTCTGATGAAGATCGCAAGGCTGAGCCGCTGCCCAGAAGTCCTCCACCTTGGCTACAATTGTGCAACGGGGCAGTGTTAAAAGCCCTGTCCCCCAGGCTGCCTGTCCCTCACCTAATCTGGTTGGTTCAGACCAGTGTCCCATGAGCGGGGAAGCCTGGGGCCTCCAAGGGCAGGCTAGCGTCACTGTGACGATGCCTTTGAATGTAGTAATAGAACCAGGTTGCAAGAATGAACAGGAAGGCTGCACTCCGTTCCAGCTTCACTGTGGATGGTGTGGTTTTAGGTGTTGATTCATCTGTGCTGGAAGAAGGTACACGTGGCCCAAGCTGGCCACTCACACTGACTCGCTGCCAGGGACTGGTCCCGATGAGATCACGGGGCTGGACCCAGGCCTGGCCAGAAGGAAGCCTTGGTATGGTTGGCCAAGCATGAGGTGTGAGCTTAGAGGCCTGGCTCTGGGGGCCAAGCTTGTCTAACTGCTGAGACCTTGGCCCTTGAGCGGGAGGCATGGCCTGAGTGTGTGCTGCCGGCTGCCTGTGCGGCCAGGGTCATGGGAGACAGGGCCAGTTGTGTCTCTGTGCCCTGTTCTCACTTCCTCTCCCAGCATGGTTCGTGCCTGGTCAGCTCTTGATGTGTGTGGGGTGCTAAGAGGGTATACCCCAGTGTTTCAGATCACTCCTTAGTGCCAGCACTTTGACAGTGGTACCGAGTTGCAGCAGATTCCTTGTTGTCCTCACTCTGCAGTGCCCTTGCTCAAGGGGATTGCTGAGTAGACTTTGGTGATGTTGAGTCACAGTCATCTTGTTGCCTGTTCTCTGGTGAAACCATCCAGGCTTCCTTGTCAGTCCTGCGGTTGGGAGCTGGTCCACTGTATTCTGAGTTGGAGAAACAGTCCTCATGTGAGAGCCACCAGTGCCACACTGCAGTTTTTACATGTGTGGTGTCCCCACACTGAAGAGCCGGCTATGTCTGTGCAGAGCGATGCCACCAGTGATTATTCACTTTCTGGTGCAGTGGACAAAACCAGGGAAAAGTTATTACCAGTCTTGCCTTTTGATTTTTTTTTTCTTTATTGAAGTGTAATACATCTTGACAAAAGCATATCTCATAAATTATGAGTGCTCCATGGATATTGAGCCCCGAACATCATCACGGCACCCCCTGGGGCCCTGCCCTTGCCACCGTTCCCTAGCCCCTGCTCCCTGAGAGCTCCTAACCAGCCAGGGGCATGCGTATGTGTGTGTGTGTTCACAGGAGGTGCAGGTGGAATCATAAATAGCCACTTCTCTTTCTGGCTTGCTGCAGCCAGCGTCGTGTTTGTGAGCAGTATCTAGTTTGATGCATGGAGTTATCAATTAATATTTCTCATTTCTGTGTAGTATTTCATGGGCCGTAAATAAGTTTGCTCATACATGTGAGCTTTTAAAAAAAGATTGATACTGTAAAGAAATAGATAAGCTGCTGCCATAATTCTGAATAGAATTGTTTTCCTCTCTAGGCATTAAACATGAATGTCAAGCAAATGGGCCGGAAGACCTCAACCGAGCTTGTATTGCAGAAAAGCTGGGCGGGTCCTTGATCGTAGCCTTCGAAGGGTGCCCAGTGTAGTGTTGTTCCAGTGCCACAGCCTAAAGCTTCCATGTTTAATGTTACCCTCTTGCTCGATAAGTAAAGCAAATCGTTTACGCCAGGGTCTCACTGAGGGGAGCTGTCTTGTCATCTTTTAGAGTAAATATTCTATAAACCTGTGTGAATGCGGCCCTAAATAAACCTAGCATCCAAAGTTTAATTTGTGTGAAATGAAATTCTTACTGGCCACATGCCTGTTTTGATGAGTTGACTTACAAAGATTTTTGTTAAGCTCAGGATTTTTTTAACAGTTCACAGAACAGTATAGAGGTCATGTGAAGAACAGTTACTTTGTTTTGTTTCGAGAATTGATTACAATCTGGTTATAATTTTGGCCCAGAATTATTCTTCCTTGATCCACGCAGAATGGGATGTCCTCTCTAACACGTACCCACACTAACCCACTAGCAGCCGTGAGTCTCAGGCAGCCTTTAGCTCTCCCAGCCGTGCACCTGAGCCTGCCTCGAAGTCACATCTGCTGTGACCCTGATCATGCAAAGCCTGCCTGGAGTGGCACAGCTGTCCCCGCACATGCAGGCTGCAGGCTGTCACCTTGTATCTTGGGAATTGTGGTGTGGCTTCAGAAGATGGGGTGTCTTAATTCTAATGCAAATTAGGGCTTGGGCGTTATACTCTGCTTTCTAATGAAAATGCTCATCGGCAGTATCTAGGCAGGCTAGGACACCGCGCACCTGTGTCTCCTTCAGAGCTGCGGCACCCAGCGTGACAAGATGGCAAGAACACTGAGTGTTTCTTCCAGGGCTGGGAGAACGTTTCCTATAGCAGTTTGTCACTTGTATGGAGTGGGGAGCTGGTGCCTACTGACACGCTGATGTGATTGTCCTCACGCCACAGGCATGACATTTGAACAAAAGAGAAATGCACAGTTGATCATAGAAGTAGCAGTTACTGGCTTTATGTAATAAAGGAAGCATTTTTAACTTCTGTCTGGTGTCATTATTCACATGTAAGTTGGGGGTAGAGATTCTACCTTCCACAAGGAGATTCTGGGGTTTCTCACAGGTGACTCAACTTCCACCTCTGATTGAAAGAGGAAGCTGGTGTAAAAGTTGAAAGCCTTCTTCTTACTGTTTACCCAAGGCTAGGCTTTGGGAGGCAAAAAAGGTCTCACTTTCATCAAAATATCTTTCAAAACTGGCTGGAAAAGTGCTGGCTGCTTGCCATTTTCCCATCTGGAACTGAACACTGCTCCGTGACCTGTAAACAGGCCCTAGGGAAGTGTCCTGGCCGGGCTGCCCTGCGGCCCACCTGCCACCTCGGGCCACATCCCTTAGGAGGCAGGAGGCGCTGTGGGCTGAGTGCAGGCGCTTGGCTGGGGGGCTCCTGAGCAGCACGTAGGGAGTTTACACAAAGTCAGCATCTCCACACTCTCTCCTACAGAAGCGCATGGGTGCTGGAGGTTACTTTCAGCTCTCTCCATGGACGCTAGGGCTGGGGCCTAGGCACTATTGCTCCCCTCCTGGTAACCAGAACAGCATGGAGGTTTGGACCTAAAAGGTCCAGGTCTGTCCCGCTTCCAGGGCACCATGACTCCCTCACAGGCTGGCACATTATATGGAAACGGGAGCCGGAGAAGAGTCATCTGGTTACCTTCTTGTCCCTGCAGAGCAGTAGAGCCAGTGTGAATCTGTGTGAACATGCGGACCTCTGAGTGACAGCCCTAGGGATTCTCCAGTGGTTCCTTCCTGGTCCTGACAGGACACGTGTCCTCTGCCTTGTGGGGAGGGGGCGGCCTAGGTAGGCAGGAGCTGGGCTCAGTGACAGTGGCTATGAGGGGCTGTTAGAGGAAGCTGGCTGATCAGGTCACTTGGCTTACAAGTGGCAGAACTGGACAAAGATGGATCCTGAGCCATTCTCACCACCTCTGGATGGTTTGAGTTTGAATTTGACATCTGGAATTTGGAGGTCAGCCTTTGGTCAGTACCATGAGTGGCACTTCAGGGGTACAAGAGGAACTACTAGCCTGCACAACAGCAAGGAGCTAGAGGAGTTATCAGGTGGCACTATAGCCTCGTCTGACCTGTGGTTGCCCACAGCCTTGCTAGCATCTCTGTCCTCTCCCAGGCTGAGAGCCGCTTGCAGGCCAGTGTCCTGTCCTATGCATTTCAGTGAGTGCCACGTGGAGATGACCAAAGGATGCTCACCCTGGAGCCACCCAGCAACCTTGGGCTCAGGAAGCCACTGTGACTCAGTCAGCAGTGAGCTGGGCCTCATTCCAAGTGACCGCCAACAGCCAGGGCTCTAGGGCTATGGGTTTTGCAAGAGGAGCTTAGAGTGGACCCCATGGTATCCACACCACAATGAGCAAGATGAGAGGCGCCATGGCATGCACACCTGCCAGCTCTTTGCAAGTAGTCTGTGAGGTGGCAGCCCCTTGTCTTCCTGAGCAGCCATAGCTAGTGCCAGGCCAGGTCCAGCTGGGTTGAGGCCAGCAGTGTGGCTGGCAAACCTGGGCTCCCTCTGCTGGCCCAGGAGGTGCCTCACTGGGCTCCAGGATTGCTGGGCAGCACAGACCATGGCCAGCAGAGCCCTGCTTCGGAAGCCTGGAGCAGCCTTGTCGGGGGGACTCTACATCACCCTCTCCCAGGGCATTGCTTCTACCAAAGCCAGCATCTTGGTGACCTCATCTCCTGTTCCTCCAGCGGGCTTTCCCAGCACTGGCCAAGCTTTCTGCTGCAGTGTAGACTCCAGGCCTGTGGTGGTGATTGAGGAGCCCTGGTGTCCCCTCCCAACCCCCCAGACCAGACCTTGGGTACAGTCAGTGTGCAGGAATCCTGCTTCTGGCATCCTACCTTCCCCAGAAATGTCCTCAAGCTTTGGGTCTCTGTTGGGTCCTGCACCCTTGGGAAACAAGTTCCTCCCTACCCAACAGCCTACCCTGTGGCTCCCAGCTGAGTCACTAATCTCCAGAGGGGTCAGGCCCACAGCCAGCACTGTTGCCTTATCCTTCTAAGGACCACGTTTCACAACCTATGGTTCCTGCTCCAGTGAGTTCTGGGACAGGTATGACTCTTTGCCCTCATGTGGTCTTCTCCCCTGCCACCCTGAGGTGCCTTCTCTTCCTGTGAGCTCACCTTAACTTTGAGCTGCTCCAGGTATCCCCACACCGGTACCTAGCTCAGTGACTACACAACGGCCCCAGATGCACAGAGGCTGTGGTGGTGGCAGGGACACATGTACCATGAAGCTTCTAAGGGCCTGTGACAGCACCCCCACAAGTCACCCACCACCCAGAGCCTGACCTCCCACAAGCCCAGGTGCCCCTTAGGCCGTTATCTCAAGCAGCTCCTGGGCACCGCCTGCTGGACACCAGGCACTGTGCCCAGATCTGTTCCAGCACCACCTCAGGGGCCAGTGTCTCCCTGGACCAAGCTGTCTGAGCCACCAAGCACTCTGTGACCCAAGTTGCAAAGTCTGAGCTGCCTTCTGCCAGTGAGGCAGCCAGCAGAGGTGGAGTAGGAGCCCTGGCCCTGAGTCTTCCTAATGTTGGCATAAGATAGTGACCCCTGTTCTCTCCCAGTGTTCCCTGCCCTCCCCCGCCTGGACCACCCTAGCCTTGCTTGCAGGACCCAAGTTGGGGCTCAGTGTCACACAGGCCCTGCTTCCATCTTCCTGGAGGGTATGGGAGCCAGAGACACTCAAGTATGAGGATGCCTTGGGTCCTCTGCCTGGTGAGAAACCAAGACCTGCACTGGGCTGCCCCCTAGGCAGCCCCAACAGGAGACACAAGACTTAGTGCCGGGCAACACGTTGGTTTAATGGCATCAACATCCAGGTCACCCACAGTTCCTCATGGTGACTTGGGGGAGGGCTGCGGCCTCAAGGGACTGGGCTCCAGCCTCTGAGGGTCCTCCCACTCCCCACCCCGTCTGGCCACATCCCGACCCCACCCCACTGAGGAGAGACGCGACAATTGCACTGACTGGCGCCGACTGCGTCCCGGCCTCCCCGTGCGCCCGTGTCAGGTCACAGGCGCTCTGGCGTCTGTGGAGGCAGCCGGGCCGCTTCAGGAATAGTGTTTTCCAAACGTGACAGGTTCTTGTGCAGCAGGGTCTGGAAGATGATCATCTCCGATGGCTTTTCTCGGAGCCTCTGGAAGTTGGGCCTGGGAACGCTGTGTCGTTGGTTTATTCGTGAGGAATGTGTAAGGCATTTTGGTAAGAGGAACAGTAACATCTCTCCATGGGAGGCTCAGACGGAGGTGCCCTCCTTCGGGCCACTGCCATCCTCCTGCAGAGGATGGAGTGTGTGAGTGGACAGCTGGCACAAAGCAGGGTACAGTGCTGCCCACACTGGAACCCATGGTCCCCCCTGCAGGGACTTCCAGCCATCTGCACTTGAGAGGAAGTGAGCCCAGCTATCAGGACACCTGAGGCCAGGAACGGGCTGTGGGGAGCCAGGCCGGTGCCCGATAGCCATCCACCCCATCACTCACCTGCCCAGGCCCAGTGAGGATGGACACTCACCACTTTCCCCAGCTGTTCTTGCAGCTGCGTCACCTTGTCCTTCTCCTCTGCCAGCTGCTCTTGGGTGGTCTTCAGAAGCTCCTGCAGTTTGTTGGCAGCACGACCCAGGTCACTTGTTAACTTCTTCTCTTTCTCTAGTCTCTCCTGCATGTTGGGGTTGGGACAGCTCAGACCCCATGTGACCCTGTGATCCCCCACCTATGCCCCCACCCCAGGTGCAAACTCCTCGGCACTCAGCAATGCTGCTGGCAAGGCACCATGTGACAATACCATGTCCTGCCATCTGTCCACATGCCTGCCACCCGGGTCGGCAGGAGCGCCCTGCTCTGCGCTGCCCGTGTGTAGCTGCCCAGTGTCTACAGTGATTTGGTGACAAGCTACTGCTGGGGTCGATGCTTCCTCCCACGGGGGTGCCGGGGAAATGGGAGCCTGACTGGTATGCTCTCCTTTTCCCAGAGCCTTGTGGGCCAAGTGGCCACGGATTTCCAGTGGAGGCCCAGGCTGATCCAGCCCAGCCCGCTCTACCTTCAGCTGTGCAACCTCCTCAGTGCCCGGAGATGCCAGGGGGCCACTGGCGCGCAGCGTCTCCAACTCTTCTTGTAGCTGGCGTGCCGTGGTCCGTGCCTGAAGGGTGGCAGGTTGTCAGACCCTGTGAGCCTGACCTGGGTGGGGAGCCCCAAGACCACCCAAAGCACCTGGCTGTGCAGGGGCCCTACATCTGGGGGATACAACCCAAAACCGAGGGTTCCTAGGGCTGCTGGGCAGGGTCTCACCTCCTGAAACTCGACTCTGAGCTTCTGCCGCAGTGCCTGCTCCTCCTCCAGGGCGAGCTCCGTCCGCTCCAGCTGTGCCTGTAGCTGTGTGGAGACAACATACATGTGACATGGCACCTGGCAAGGGACCCCGTAGGGGCTGCAGCACAGGGAAGACTGGGACTGCAGGGCACCTCTTAGCTACTTCTCACCCCACTTTCCCCACCGACCTGGGGAGCAGGTGGCTCATAAGGAGATGCTGAAGAAACCTCTGTGGCCTCAGGGCCTTCGCTGCACCCAAGAGGCAGAGTGGTCCTGGGAGCCATCAGGCAGGGCCAGACCCAAATGGATACCCTAGTGACAGCCCCTGGCTCCTGGCAAGGGTTTGCACAAAGCTCCAGGGAGCAGGTGCATCACTAGCACTGTCCCAGCGGCGGCCCCCAGCCTGGCTGCCACCTTTGCTTGGCACTGTGTCCTCCTCAGCCATGGCCGAGAGCTGCACCCTGCTTGGGTCCGCCTAGGGTCACTGACAGGCCCGAGGCCCAGCTGCACCCTAACCTTCATGGTATCTTGCTCGGCTGAGGGAACTCCTGGGGACCCAGCAACATCGCCATCTGCTACGTGGCTCTTCATCTCACTCAACTGCCGCCTGACCTGAAATAGGGAGGGACAGGTTTGTGTGAATTCACAGTGGGACCCCAGTCCTTCCAGCTCGGAATGCAGGTGTGCTGAGCAGCACAAGCACCTTGGCCTGGTGAGACCCATGTATTATTCTGCTTCATGTAGGCAGGACCCGCCCCTACAACAAGGTGGCCCCGATGGCAGCGTATGCAGAGTAGCTGACAGCCCACGCTTCTCTGAAAATGCAGCTCACTGCTGGGACCTTTCCTGACATCCAGAGGCAATCAGGAGGTGAATGCCCTGCCTCACAGGCCCTGAGGGCCCCACACCACTGGGCCCCCAAACTAAGGGTAGCAGTGTCACCCAGGAGCTGGGGTGAAACTTAGTCAAGCGAACCAGTGGGGCCAGGCATGAGCTCCAGGGGACACAGTGGCGTCAGGTTCCATTTGAGGCCTGCTCCTGGGTGACTCCAACAGTCTTTCCCCACAGTCCCCAACAGCAAAGCCACACTGCACCACTGAGGATGGTAAGAAGCCCAGGAGCATCTGCACTCCCCCCACCTGTCACCAGACTCAGCCAGCGCCCCTGGCTCAGGACAGCCTGGGTGACACCTGCCCCCTGGTGCAGCAGGAGTCCCGTTGGTGCCGCCAGCCCGGCACACTAGACCATTGCTTCCCAGAAGCCAGGGCTGCAGATTTTAATCCAAGCCTCCCACTCCTAAGATTCTCAGCCTGGCCCTAGCAGGTGCTGAGCTGGCCAAGCCTCTGGAACATGGCACCTAGGACTCGGGGCAGGCCCAGGCCAGTGTGTGGTGGGCTCCTCACATGACAGGCTCAGCTTTGTACCAGTGCACTGGTTCTACTGGCGGGATCGGAACTGTTACCCAGCATTGAGGCAGGCAAGGATTTGGCAAGAGCCACAGGGCAGGGCCAGGAAGGACCTCAGCACCTGCTCTCCTGTACTGCTGTACTGCTGATGCTCACGCAGACCCCCAGTGTTCCTGCCACCCAGAGCAGGGACCAGGCTGCCAAGGAGAGGGACAGGGTGTGGGCACCATGCTTCCAGCAGCCACAGGCCCAGCCAGCTCAGAGTTCTGGGCCAAACGCTGCCGCCGCCCCCCGCCAGCTGCAGGATCTTCTGTGTGGATGTGAGAACTTGACTGGCAACACACTTCACACACACACATGTGCGGGGCACTCCCCCAGGCACACCCCTGCCCAGCACGCAGCCCACCTACCAGGGCGAGCTCTTGGCTCTGCTTCTGGGCTTCGCTCTTCGTTTCATCTAGCTGAGACTGAGAATCTAACAGCAGCTGCCTCAGCTGGGGACAAAGGAGAGAAGAGGAAAAAGTAGGCCCAGGGTGAGCAATGCACGCCCACCTTGAGCCTTCCTGAACACCTGTGTACCATGTCTTACATAAACAGAAACGAAAGCAAGAAGAGCTATGGGCTCGGCTCTCTGCTCCTGACAGGACAGGACCAGATTTCAGCTCCCTCCCTAGGGAAACAGCGCCAGCAAGCCAGGCAGCATCCCGAAATCCACAGGTAGGACTCATGGGACAGCTGCTCCCACAGGCCCAGACCCTCTGGGCAAGGACCAACCACTGGTGGGGGAATGGCCTCACCCCTGCCACCTCCTTGGCATAGGTCTGGCACTCGGCGCTGGCGGCAGCCATGTGCTTCTCCAGCTCTGCCTCCAGGTGCAAGGTGTGCTTCCGCACCTGAGGGACGTAAGACAGGGCCTCAGGCCAGCTGGCAGGAAGAGGACTGACCCTAGGGAGCCAGCTGGAAACCTTCACCGGCACTGCAGAATCCTGGGGCCCACCACACCCAGAGGGCAGAGGAGCAAGAGCCCTTGCTGCTGTGACATGAGGACAAGCAGCAGGAGCCTGAGCACATCCCTGTTCCCGAGGCCAAGGCTGGGCAAGTCTGCACAGGCCTGCTCTGTCCTGGGCCACAGCACTGGCAAGCGCCACAGTCCAGCAAAACAGCACAGATCCTGCGGCTGGGGGCACCCTCATTTACCATTGTAAATGGTCACGAGGGCAAAATAACTTAGGTGGCTCCCTAAAATCCTCACTTTCAGAGAGGCTCATGGGACAAGAACAGCAGCTCTCAGCACAGGCCCTGCATACCTGGTCCGAGCTTTCAAGTTCTCCTTTGAGCTTCTCTATAGTGTCTTCAAGATGCTTCACTGTGACCTGGGACTATGGAGCAAGAGAAAGTCCCTGTCACGCAGAAAATCTAGAGACATCTGGGACCAGCCCAGTGCGTGGCCTAGCAATGCCACCCCTCCCAGGCAGGCAGGTGCATCGATGGCCTCCAGCAGCCCCTTCCTGGTTGGCCATGGGGGACACAAGGTGGGGGTGACAGGATTCAGCTGCCGCTCTGATTTTAGGGTGTCTCTCAAAACCCCCACCATGACATATCTCATGGGTGAGTGGGGTGTGGTGCCTGTGCCTGTACCTTCTGCAGGTCTTCCTCCTTCGCGCCCACCCTGGCCTTCCACACCTGCTCCTCCTCCTCTACACTCTTCTGCAGGTCCTTGAGCATGCCCTCCTGCAGGACAGTGACACTGAAGTGAGGCCTCTCACCTAGCCAGCCCTGCCAACACCAGCTATGCCAGGAGGGTGTGGGCCAGGGCCACTGCGGGGCATGCTGGGAGATGAGGTCCACAACCTGGATGAGGCCAGCAGGACTGGCATGGTAGGCTTTGCCACTAGCGCTGACTCCATCAATGACCAAGACAGGGAGGTACAGGCCCAGCACTATCTGCCTGGTGGGTCTTCCTTACCACAGTCTCCTCCAGGCAGAGACCAGCCCTGACCACCCTTAGATCTCTCCCCTTCTTTCCTCATTTAGACACCACAGAGATGTTGGAGCCCCATCTGGCACGGTCCCTTTCCTTCCAGAGGGCCCCAGGAGAAGCCATCTGCCTGGGTCACTGGGCCAGAGGCTCTTCTGAGGCATCCCGGAAGACCTCACCCTGCCCTGGTCGCTCACCGTCTCAGCCAGGATGGCACGATACTGTTCACACTCGGCCTGCAGAGTGCTCTGGGCCTCCTCAGCCTCCCGCAGCTTGGAGGCCACGTCCTGTGGGCAGAGGGGTGACAGTGTCTGTTTACCAGCCCTACACAGCTCTTTCCCACTGCCTGGAACCATTAGGGCTCCACCTGGGCCAGGAGACCTCACTGGGGTGCTCTGCCTGGGCCCTGCCTGTAGCCAGCTCACCTGAGAGGGCTCTGTGGTGGCCGACGATATCTTCAGCAGCTCGGGACCCCTCACTCTGAGCTCCTGCAGCCACTCAGCATAGCTCTGCGAGAAAACACAAGGTGGGCCAGGGACATGGGCAGGGTGTCCCAGTGGGGAGCAGGTCCCTGGGGGCACCGCCCACCTACCTGGTGCACCGAGGCAGAGAGTTCTGGGAGCAGGGCCTGCAGGGCCTCTCTGGTCTGTGCCTTGGTCAGACGAAGCTGCTTCTCTGAGTCCTCCTAGGGGGTGAGAGAGACAGTGCTTAGCCCCCAGCTGGAGGTGGTGTCCTAAGCTCTTCAAGGCTGGGACAGGGACCAAACTGAAGGCCAGGTTCATGGGCAGGGGTTGGCCATGCCAGCTCATCAGTTCTCAAGAGCATGCATGTGGGGCAAGGCAGGATGAAGGTGAGGGACAGTCACAGCCCAGGGCTTTGGCAGCATGTGCTGTGACAGTGAAGGGAGCTGTGGTCAGGACCAGGGCAGGATAGGAATGAGGGGCCCAGAGGGGCTCACCCCTCACAAGAGGAAGGGGTGATCAGCAGCCCTTCATATCAAAGTCGCCACCTCTGACAAGACAGGACCTGCTACCCATGCTGCACAGGGCTGGGGCCCTCCATCCTGCTCAGGAAGAGCCTGTGGCCCCCACTCAGAGCACGAAAAGGGACCAGAGGCAAAGCCCAGGGCTGCAGTGTCCCCTAGGGATAGAGCAGGGTGGAGTGACCACAGGATGCACACCTACACCAAAATTCACCCAATCCAATAATCTGCCCCCAACTCCTGGGAGCCACTGAGGACTTGAGTGGGGACTTGAGTGGGGAGTGCAGGGCTGCAGCTCTTGGGACTCAGCTGACAAGGGACACCAGCCTACCACACAGCCAGCCTGGCCCTCCTGGCTGCCCTGTCACCCAGTGGGATCCCCGACCTTGTGCCCACCACTCAGCCACATCCAACTTCTATCTTCATCTAGCCATGTGACCACAGCCACGTCAGGTGACAGCTCTCGTCACAGGCCCTGCCTCTGCCACACAGTGGCCAGATGGCCTCTGAGGTCACTGCTGCAATGACAGCTCTGACAGCACGGACCATGCCCAGCCCTTCTGTCCTGCCTGACTCAGGGCTCTCATGCTGTCTGTCTCCTCAGGCTGACAGGGACAGACTGCTGTGTGAGAGGGCTGGGAGGAATGGCCTTCCACAAAGCACGGACAGTGACGAGAATGGTGAGTGGGCGAGCAATGGGGTGGCCGCTGCCTTTGACAGTGATGCAAAACACCCCAAACACTTTGCTTGCACTGGCTGCGCAGAGGTCTGTCCACAGATCCCTAGATGACCACCCCCAAGAAAGCAGGCCACTGGGAGCACTCGGCCACTTCCCCCCTTATATCCAACGGGGCCACTGACAAGGGGACCACCCAGCCCAGCATGTGCGATTCTCCCTTCACCCTGAGGAGACAAAGGGAGAGCAAGAGGAGGCAGGAGGGCCAGGGAACGAGCGGAGCTTCGGCTTGGCCCAAGGTGGGGCTCTCACCTTGGCCTGCGTCAGGGTTTGCAGCTTCTCCGCACAGGTCCTCTCGGCCAAGGCCAGCGCCTCCATGGCCTTCCAGTTCTTCTCCCGGAGGTCCTGGAGGGTGAAGGGGGTGGTCAGCAGTTTCCAAGATCACAAGCTGGCCCAGCCAGGGCCCACACGGGAACTGGGAAGGGATGTGGCCCTTCCCTTGGCCTGCAGTGAGCACCTTCTGGGCAGCAGTCAACAGAAGGCCCTGGTGCTGTCTAGCCTGGGGCAGTTGGGGTGCGGAGGCAGGAGGCAGTGGCTGCCCGTGCAGGGAGGACTGGTCTGAAGGTGGAGCTGCACAGGACAAAGGCAGCAATGGCGCAGGCGGTCCTGGGACATTGAGAGGGTGGCATCTACCAGGACCCAGCAACAATGACAGCACGAAGGCAGCAGAGAGGACCTCGCCTGCCATGTCCTGTGCCCTGCCCTGCCCTGGCCCCTACTCACATTATTCTTCCCTTTCTGCTGCTCCATGGCCTCCTTGAGCTCAGTGGCCTCCTTCTCCAGACACGACACCTGCGACTCCAGCTCCTTGAGGCTGAGGAACACAGAAAGGTCACTGTCTGGCTATGTCTGCACCTCGGAAGGCCCCTTGCTCCGTTCTCCCACTCAGGGTGCAAGCTCTCCAGCAGCCCCAGCTGCCTGGCCTCTCCACCTTCCTGAGGCCCTGAGTAGCCATGGCAGTGCACAGGGACCGGGTAGGCGATCCCCAGGATGTTGCTTCCTCTGGGGCACAAAGCCTGATCTGTGGCCCTTCCCTACCCTGGAGAGAGGTCAGTACTGGCTCCCTCACTCCTGTCCTGACACAGGATCTGGGTCTTCATTCACCTTTGCCACCCAGAAGAGGGGCTGTTACAGAACAGCCCTGAGGTTCTGAGAGACAAGCTTGGAAGGGCTACACTGAAATGTCCCCTCTATAGTAACGTCAGACAGGAAACACAGGATATGTGGACTCTGAAGCCCTGAAATGGCCAGTGGCGGCCCGATCAGGAGGGAGCTGCCACTAGCCTGGCCTGACGAGGACAGGATACATGGGTGTACCTCCTCACATGCATGGGCCAGTGTCACCACGGGCCAAGCCTACACCCATCCTGCCTGCCCTGACAGACCATGGATGCTGCCTGGTACACTCTGTATTTTGTCCTAGGTACACCTTACTGCTGGCCTAGCTAGCCCTTGCTTGCTTTTTGGGCTCTGGTTTCAGGCCACAGCACCCTGACTCCACTCTCGAAAGCCCCACTGAGAAGCTGGGGATTTAGCTCAGTGGTGCCACTACCTGCCTCACAAGCACAAGGTCCCGAGTTCAATTCCTGGTACTAAAAAGAAATGCCCCACTGGGACCCAGGACTCTCCCCGGAGTCCATGTACCATGCAGCAGCCTCTCCAGCACAGCAGCCCCAGACAAAGGTCTGCAGGGTGGTGACAGGAACCCTGACAATCCCTGGGGAGGCTGCTGCTGGGCCCAAGAAGGTCTGGGGAAGAAGTACTACTTGCTATCAAAGAACAAGATGGCTTGGGCTCCACCGCCTGCAGACAAACCACTGAAAGGGGAAATAAACCAAATAAACCAGCTTCTTACAGACGACAGTGAAAGGTGCAAGTTAAAACCAAGCCTAATTGCAGCAGGAGCTCATTATCCTAGTGCTCTGCTGGGTGGCTTGAGAATCTGACCTCAGGATACAGGATCAAAAGCCCAATGAATACCTCTTCAGCCTACAGTTGCAGCGGGAGGGAGGGGCGCCTGCTATCAGGGAAGGTGGGTGGACAGGGCGGGTCCTGGGTCTTCTCTCCCCAGGCCCCAAACCACAGTGCCTGCTTAGGGACACTAGCCTACAGCCCAAGAAGCAGTGTCTGCTAAGCAGCACAGAGACACAGCATGCTGGCAGCCTGGGATATGCACAGCTTGTACAAGTGCATGGATGGCAGTCTCCACAGCTGGCCCAGAAAGCTGCTCTGGGGACCCCAAAGGTGACACCGTGAGGACACTGGCCCAACTGAAGCAGCCCATCCAGATGGTGCCCTGGCCTTAGTGGTCAGGCCCTGTGGTAGGAGTGAGCTGCTGCCTGCCCTGCCACGTGACTGCTGCAGGCACTCCCACCATGATGCCATTCAGTGTGACAGCACAGCATGGTGACAGAGCCCCTGCCTGATGTGGGACTTTCTGCTCCCAAACTATGAGCTAAACAATCCCCTTTTATGAAGTGCCTCATTTCAGGTGTTTTGTCATAGCAAGAAAAAGAGACAGACACAGCTCCCAGCAAGGCTGACGTCCTTCCCACCCCAACTGGTCCCTTGCTCTCTGCTCCCTGCAGGGATGCAGTAGGAGTGGGGCTCTTCCCCGAGGGAAGCCTTACCGTGACTGCTGCTGCTCGGCCTCAGCTCGGCTGGCCTGGAAGAGATAGAGTGTGCTGTGTTCCCAGGAGACCCCTGAGGGCAATAGCCAGCCCAGGCAGAGCCACCGCCCACCTCACTAGGCCCAGAGGAGAGACTGACCTGGGTGTCTCGGGTCTGGCCTGCCTCCAGCAGGGCCTCAATGGAACGCATGCGCTCAGCCAACTGGGTGTTCTCCGCTCGGGCCTCCTGGAGCTGCCCATGGAGCCCCCGCAGCTCCTCACACTTGCTCTTCACCTCCGCCTCAGAGGACTGCAGCTTACCGTGCAGCTCTGTTGCAGGAGGGAGACAGGGAGTGCTTGGGCTGGAGGTGCGGGAATGCGTATCCTGCCCCTCCCTGTGCACCAGGCTTCCTCCAGCCTCCTGCGGCCTGGGGTACCCAACACACGATGGACCCTGGAACTCCTCATCGACTGCCGAATGCCACACCCTGACAGCACATTCCTGGGGACCCCAGAGTAAGGTGCAGGTGGCTGACAGCCGTGGAGGACGTGATGACTGCCAGTGGCCTTCAGTTGGAAGTCTCTGGAGTTTCGTTCTCTCTGAAACTCAGGCTCCTCTCATCTGAGACAGGAGCAGCAGTAATGTGTCCAGCGTCTTTCAGGGGCTGTGTGGCCCCTCCCTCCTTGGGGGCATCCACCCCAGGGGACCTCGGAAGTCCCTGGGCCCTGAGTGAAGACCACATGCCCGTAACACTGCATCCTGGCTGCCACCTTCCCTTGATGATCTCAGGGCTCCCACACCCAACAAGGCCAGGTCTGTCCCTCTCGGCACTGCTGGGGTGGCCGGCACCTAGTGCAGCTGCCCTAGGCTTGGATGACCGCAGGGGCTCTGTCCTCTCCCTGGGCCACTCCTGCCCCCACACCCAGCCCTGCACACCCAGGCTCCTCCTCTTTAGGATTCAGTACTTTTACACATTTGAGGTACGTACAAAGCCATGCTTATAGCAAAAGTCCATGGTCATTCTCTACCCGGTGCCATGGTGTCCTATGGTGCGAATGTGACTGTGCCCTTCCTCTGCCCCGACCCTTCCTATCACACAGGGAGAGGGATCAGGCACCTGTCATGAGGCTATATTGGTCACAAGGTGGCCGTTCCCCTCTGAAGGCAGGCTGGCCAGCATCTTGGCCTGGGCTCAGACACCCCTCCTGCCTCAGAGAGGCCACTGGGACCAAAGCTGCACTGGCCTTCCGGGGCTGCTTTTTAGACATGAGGTTTTATTTAGAAAGCCAGGGCTTCTTGTTCACACCTTGACTGTGGCCATTTCTGCCCAAGCAGCAGAGCTGGGTAGCTGTGACAGAGATCAAATGTCTTTTCCACAGCTCCCTTCATGAGTGATGCCTTGTGTAGGGGGCACCGCTGTGTGACCCTGTCCTTGTGGGTGGCACTGCTGCCAGCCAGGCCCAGGCAGTGGCTCAGCAAGTATGGCAAGGAGCATCCAGCTGTTGCAGGGCCTGCACCCGGGCCACCAGGTGCACCCACACCCACACACACACCTGCCAGCCGCTGCTGCTGCTCCTGGGCCTTCTCAGCATCAGCGCGCAGGCTGGCATGGCTACTCTGAGTGCGGCACAGCTCCCGGCTAAGCTCGTCCAGATGCTTCTGCAGGGCCTCCTCACTCTCCTTGTAGGACACCTGAGGCAGAGGAAGGCGGTGAGGGGGCGGTAGTGGGACAGCTCGGCCCACTGGGCCCCTGAGAGGGAGTCCACTCCCAAAGTCTCAGAATTAGCAGGGTCTTGCCCCAGCCAGCAGCCCAGGCTCTGCACACCCAGGCTCCTCCTCTTTAGGATTCAGTACTTTTACATATTTGAGGTACACACAAAGCTGTGCTTGTAGCAAAAGTCCAGAGAGACTGAGTCCACCTCCATCCTGCAGCAGGGCTAGCGTGGCCACACATGGCGTGGTGCACGACTACAGTCCTGGGTTCGGCAGTTCTCTCAGCTCTTTCACGTCAGACTGGACCCTGACCTTTGAATCGGCCACTCCCTCATGCAGCCTGCTGGCTCAGACCGCCCTGTACCACGGATGGACTCACACGACCCCCAGAACTCTGCTGCCCCTGCTCGGCATCTCTGCAGGCCTCATTAGTCCTCCGGGTCAGGGATCCCCATGCACTGCGCTCTTGGGTGGAGGTGCTGGGTGAGGCCCTCAGTTCTCCAAAGGCAGACACTGGCTACAGTGAGAGCTCACTCACAAAGGCCCAGTCCACACGGGTTCTGGGGGACTAAAATGAGGTGCCGGTGATATGTCCAGCCCCCACCCCAGCTGACTGCACCCATGACCTGTTTGCACCCTCTTAGGGCACTGGCTGCACAACCTGGTGCTAGGCTAAGTGCTTGGAGGACAGCCATCAAGAGGAGAGTTTGGAGCTAGGGAATCACTGCCCAGGACCGCCTACCAACCCTGTGCAAAGTAAACTGGCAGAGGCTTGGGGAGGGCAGGCTTTTCTGCATTAGAACACAGAAGGGGTCCTCAGGCCCAGCTCTAGGAGAGGAAGACAGTGAGGGGTGAGCCCTGGCAGAGAGCAGACCCACCGCATCCCCCTGCATCCCCTCAACGGCCCCATTCAGCTAGGCTCTCCTCATGACCAGCAGCAGCAGGACCCTCCTGCCCACAGCTCCTCACTGGAGACTTGGCGTGTCCCTCTTAGGACCAAGACCACAGCTCTTCTTGCCAGGTAGGACAAGGGATCAGCACTGCCAACCACACGCAGTAATTCTAAAGGTTGGGCCCTTGACTGGCAGGCCAGCTGGGGTCCTCAGAAAGCACTTCTGGGTTTCCAAAGTTCTGTCCCTCAGCCAGGGTAAGTGTCCTCAGGGCCCGAGGGCACCCTGCTTTCTTCCCAGCAGGACCCACCAAACCATCTGGGGGAGCCAGGCTGGGGTCCCTGCCCTGACACCCGAACTCTGAGACCAAGGTCAGCCCAAGAGCCCACACCCACCCCCATCCCCAAAGAGCTGCCGGCAGGGAAGCGGCCACTGACCAGTGACAGCAGATGGCAAGAGCCTTGGATTGGCTGCAGTGTAACTCAAGGACTCCACCCTCCCCACCTGCGTGATGCTGGGGATTGAACCAGGATCTGCACACAGGGCTGGCTACATTCTTAGCCCTTTCTAAACTTTTTACTTTGAGACAGGGTCTCATTATATCGTCAATTTACCCAGCCTAGGCTTGAACTTGTGATCTTCCTGCCTCAGCCACTCAGAGTGCTGGTATTACAGTGCTTCTGGCCTCTCTACAACCTCAACTCTGGTCAAACTTGGAGAGTCCCAAATGAGACTGTGTGGTCCACACTGGCTTGGTGTTTTTCTGTGCAAAGCAACATTCTGGTGCTAGGTGCTTGCAGGTATGCCTGCAAGTTGCATGCTTGCAGGTATGCCTCTAGTTCAGACCTCAGACACGCCTCGAGCAGGTATCACTCCACACCTAGAGCACTACAGAAAGTCAGGCTCTCAGATCAGTTTTCAGGAAGTGGACAGCCAGATCTGAACCCAGCAGGTGATGCCCAGGACCCTGTTGGCAGTGGGACACACCTGGCTTCCATCGCCACCGTGGCCACCTTGCATCAGACAAGGGCTGAGGCCTAGGGCACAGGAGATACTCTGATTGCAAAGAAAACTCCTGAGAGCCACTGGCTAGCCAGGCCTCCTCTGGGCTGGGTCTTCTTCGGGCACCATGTGACAGTGACCACCTGTACTCTAGAGGTTCTAGCTAGGTGCCCCAGAGCCACCTGAGGGCCTTTAAACACAAGGATGCCAGGCCCACCCTAGGGCCCAACTCCCACCGAGGGTGGCCTGCTCCACAGGACAGTAGGAGACACGGAGACAGCCATTTCATTCCATGAGATGCAACTGCATGTGCTGTCCATTCTCTGCCTGTCTCCCACACAGGCTCAAACACTGGCCCCACAAGTTCCTGGCTGGCATTTGAGTCCCTTCAGAGGGAGCCTCAAAACCTCTCCCACCTGAGCATGCTTTCAGCCCTGGAGCAAGACCCGGGCACAGGGTTTCCTTTTGACCCAGGGCACTCCCACGAAGGCCAACCTGCCCTACTATGGGCTGGTAAAGGCATCAAAAGCCATCAGGGCTGAGGAAAACACCTGATGCAGCCTGGTGCACTTAGGATAGCACTTTTGGGACAGACAGCCCTCCTCTTCCAGGAAAATGGGCACACTCCTGGGAAACAGCCACAAAAGAAGCCGATCTGCTGGCCTTGGCCTGGACCCAGAGGCTGTTAGGGCCATCAACTCCTGGGCTAGCCACTAACTGTTCTGCAGTGCCATAGGGCTCAAGGGCAGATAACAAGTAACTCTGCAGCCAGACTCAAGGTCTGTACCCTGACTGCCAAGTCCTGGGGTGGCTGCCCAACTTCACCATGCCCCTGACTTCTTTATGGGTGAACTGCAGACATGGGCAGTGCAAAACAGTGCTGCCTCACGGGGTCATGAAGACAATGAAATGAGTTAACACGTATAAATGCTAGTGACCTGGTGGCAACTTGGGAGGTGAGGCAGGAGGATCACTGAGAGTTTGAAGCCAACCTGGACTACATAATAAGTTCAGGACCAGCCTGAAAGACATAGCAAGACCCATTCTCAAAAAAGACAAAACAAAAAGCTGACGTGGACGGGTTCCCGCAGTACTTCCCCCATCTCCAGCTGTCAGCCCGGGTGCAGGAGGTTGACCGTCCCACCCCGTGTGCGCACATACTCACCTGCAGCTGCAGCACCTGCTTCTCAAAAGCGGCCGCCTTAGCTTCCAGAGCCTTGCGCTGCTGCTCCTCCTGCCGGGACACCTCCACCTTCTCCGCCAGCTCCTTGCTGGTCTTGCCCAGCTCCTGCCGCAGCTTCGCCAGCTCTGCATTCTGCCTGCAGGACAGTCACAGCCTGACCCATGGGCAGTAGGGGCCAGGAGCAGGCACACCTGCCAGTGGGACCTTGTGAAGCCTCTTCTGCATCACCATCCATAGGGCTGGGTGCTTGGTGGGAAACATTTCCCCAGCACAGCACACAGACCAGACTGTAGGGAGAGCCCCTCCCAGACCCTATTCAGCTCAGTGCTCTGGGCCACACCCAGGAACCTTCTGAAGACAGAGCAGGGGCAAGCGTGCCTCCTTCAGGAACATGAGATGCCATGAGCACCAGTCAGAGCCTAGAGAGCACCTGATCTAGGGACACCATGACCCAGACTCTCCCTTAGGCCTCCTCCATCAGAGGGGCCACACCAACTGCCAGGAGCTATGCAGAGGATGGACAGTAGGACAAGCCACACAGGAGGGAGTAGGGACACAAAGGCAGCCATTTGCACATACTGGGCTTGCAGGCAGCGTCAGCCACATCTCTGAAGAAAGTAGAGGAGGAGCGTGGATTTAGCTTAGAGGCACCGCACCTGCCTTGTGAGGTCCTGAGTTCGATCCCCAGTACCAAAAAAAAAAAAAAAAAA